ATGATGCTATGAAAATTACTCAGCTGAAAAGCCTTCATTTTTGCAAACACTTTCAAACCAAGGATCTTAGGAGACTTAACTACTTCCTAGGCATGGAAGGGCCTAACTCGAAAGAAGGTGTTGTGGTTTTTCAAAGGAAGTATGTGTTGGATATGTTGAAAGAAACATGACTTTTATATTGTAAACGCATGGATAGTCCTATGAATCCAAATAGCAGAATAGTGAGACCATCTCAAATCCAGAGAGATACAAAAGATTTGTGGAGAAACTTATTTATCTTACTGTTACTTGGCCTCACTTGTCTTTTGCTACTAGTGTGGTGAGTCAATTTATGCAAGCTCCTTGCATTGATCACTGGAATGTTGTACTTCACATTCTTAGCTACCTCACTAGGGGTCTAGGACAAGGTCTACTATATGAAGATAAGGAAATTACCTAAATATTTGAATGTTGTGATGCTGATTGAGTTGGGTCTCTTGTAGGATATGTTGTGTTTTCATTTGGAAATGCAAGAACAGAATGTTGTTGCTTGATCGAGTGTTGAAGTTGAATATAGGGAATGTTGTTGCTTGGAAAAGAATTACTGACTTGTGAACTTGTGCGGTGCGGATAAAACAGTGTCTCCAAGAACTGAAGTTTTGTGGAAATCAACAAATGATAATCAATTGTGATAATCAAAGAGCTCTTTACATTGCTTCCTACCCTGTGTTTCGTTAGAGGACAAAACACAGAAATTTACTCACATTTTTGTCATAGAAAAGTTGTTGTCCAAGGAGATTTGCGTGTTTGTTTGCTTCATTGATCAACTTGCAGACATTTTGATAAAATGCTTTAGATGAGTTCAAATTCAATTTATATGTTCCAAGCTTGGAAAATATAATTTGTATATTCCAGCTTGAAGGTGAGTGTTAGAGTAGTTTATATTATCTTCTAACCGAAAAGCCATTTTTGTGTTATATCTATATATGTAACCCAGTATCTAGGGGTTCCTTTTTTATTTTTCTCTTTTTCCTTAAGCTTCACATCCTTATATGTGTGAGGGTGTTTGTGCTTGTATAATGGACATAAATAAACAGTGAGATCCAAGTTAAGAACTCATAAACACTTTTTCTCTTTAAGTAGTTATTTTCTTTAACGACTAGTAGTTGATATGTTTGATAGTATGCAACTAACATTGGATACCCTGGATTAAAATTTCTTGCAGATTGAGCCTATGCGCAATGCTGGACTTATCAAAGGAGGTTCTCTAGAGAATGCCATTGTATGCAGGTATATACTTGCTTCAAGCATGGATGATTTCCATGCTGCCAATTGTGCTTCTTAGCTTCTATGTTATTCACTTATAATTGGTACCATATTCTTTTGCAGTGCCAGTAAAGGTTGGTTGAATCCACCTCTGCATTTCAGAGATGAACCATGTCGTCACAAGATCTTAGACCTCATTGGTGATCTCTCGCTGGTTGCTCAATCGGGGAATCAAGGACTCCCAGTAGCACACATCGTAGCTTACAAGGTGTGTGTGCCTTTGGTTCTCTCATCAAAGTATTGTTTTCGTTTGTCAATTTTACTCTCACTGTCACAATCGATGACTTCGAAATATTTGTTAGTGTTTCTTTTGTTGATTATGTACAAAACAAAGCGTGGTATTAGTGATTTGAATTATGCTCTAGATCCGTGTTGTGAATGATTTTTAATGCGATTGATGTATGCTTGATGCAGGGTGGCCATGCATTGCATGCTGATTTGGCACGCCGCCTGATAATGAGTTGAAAGTCAAACATGTTGACAATGGTTGCTAGAAGCTGTTCTTTTAGGTGACTTCTGAGCTTCTCTGCAGAATGAAATTGTTATATCTGGATGAGAAAATTTTGCTAGATAATTATTTTTTATAGAAATTTTAAATGTTTTATACCAAACTATATTTTGTTTGGCTAATATTTTTTAAAAGAAATTGAAACTATAAAAACACAGGAAAGGACTGATTACTTAAAAGTGTATAATTTTAAATTCTAGATACAAAAAAAGTATTTAGTAACAATATATTTTTTAACCATTGGTATTAGATTTAATATTTATTGTGATTCATCTTCTCGCCTTTTCTACTTAATTATTTTTCACCTGAATAGTTAATGTATGTTAGTAAGTCTTCTTCCATAAAAGTAATGATTTAATAAAAAATTAAATATAATTAATAGAAGAGATAATATGAGGAGAGTTGTATATTTTCTTGCGAAGGAAATTAATTGAAAAGAATAAAGTAACAAAGAACATATGAATTTCTAAAAAGACTCTTATGTATAAGAAGAAAGTAAAATACAAATCAGAATTAAAGTTTAAAATATAAAATATAATTTACTGTAAAATGGTATATTTTTAAGGCAATAATAATATAGTCTAGTAATTGTGATTATAACAGGAAAATATCTTAATAGTTTTTAATCTTTTACCGAGTTACATAGAATAAGCATTTTTCAATAATATTTAAAAGAGTAATGATATTTTGACACACCTAATTTTTTTACATTTATTTGATACTATTATTTCTTATTTTTTACTCTTTTTTTTTAATACAAAAATTTATATTTTTATATCAAATGAATATAAAAGTATATCGTCATGTTATTACTCTTTTAACTAACACTTAAACAAAAAAACATAACCATAATATTTTTTCCTTAAAACAACCACGTAACAAACTCATTTTAGTTATTCTACCCAAGACACTCACGTTATAATAAATCTAACAAAGGATTTACCGTACCAAAATATTTCATAAAATAGCAAAAAATATGTAAGTATACGAGTATGCATAATAAAATTTTCTTGGTTTGTTCATATACTAAGTAGGGATGACAAAACACTTTGCAAACACGAGTATTCACGGATAAAATCTGCGACGGATAGTCACTATCCACAGATAACGGGTAGTGGGTGTTTTAATACTATCTGACCCGTAAATATTCGTTATCCGTAAAAAATAAAAAAATAATTTATATATATTTTTAATTAAATTTTAATTTATATTTAATTTAATTTAAATTATATTATATATATATATATATATATATATATATATATATTTAAATTTTATTTTAAAAATGTAATAATTTTTTTTTTTAATTTTTATGGGTATCTGCGGGTACCTGCGGGTATTTTAAAATATGCAGGTATTTTCTAAACGGGTATTTGTGCAGGTAGCGAGTCGGATAACCGGTATAGTTTTATCAAGAGTAGTGAATAAAGACAAATGGAACCTCTCAAGAGTTTTTGGAAGAGACTAGACGTAACTCAATTGGAGCAAACCAATATAAAAGTCTTGTGTTTATTGTTTTGTTCTATTAAATATCTTTTTGCTTTCATTATAAAAAGATAGCATCTGAACAAGTTGTTTAAATTATCTATTTTCATATATTCATTAGACGATGATTATATGAACTAAAACATGTGTGTGAATACACTTTTATTCAAACGTGAAGTACTTAAAGTTTTTTTTTTTAAAAAAACCTCACACTTCCTTCTATCACTATAATTTAAAGCTATACATGATTCTTTATGTGAAATCTGCCTAAACATTTCCTATGAAATCTAGCGTCTAAACACTACTCATTCACATTTATCAAACACTATGTTGCGAAAAGAATTTCAAAACACTATCCAAACTCCTCTTTTCTAGTGTTTTCTTATGACTTCATCACTTCATTGATTAATGACACTAATAATAATACCTTAACAAATTATTAAAATAAATCTAACAAATTAAATCTAATATACCAAATTTGAAAATTCATCGAGTACCTTAACCAGATTTCAAAATCTATTGATTAACTTAACTAGATTTTGAAATATAGTGACTTCCTAGACTAAATTTTGAAATCAAATAACTTCTTAAAACAAATTTGGAAATCCAATTAATTTTGAAATTTAGTAATTTTTTTTAATCAAATTTTAAAATTTAATAATTTTGTCAATTGAATTTTAAAATGCATTAACCTTTTAAACTTGTTTTCAACGTCCAATTTGTTTCCTAACAATTCGAAATGCAACATTAACGATGAAACATACTTAAACACTTATACTTTAATGTCAAATAAAAAAGATGAAAAATATAACTGACCACCAACAAAGGAATCAGTGCAAAAGTTAACACCGGAAGGACCACAAAAACATAAAGAATCACGAAGAGAATAAAGAATGAAGCAAAAGAAGGAAGCAAGTGAACTTGAGGTTCATAATTCAGATTTGAAATAGATAATGTAATTTAAAAATATTTTAAATTATATGATTTAAAATTTAAAATATAATTTTAGAATACTTAAACCATAATATATTCTTTACAAAAAACATACCTAATGTATAAATTAAAAAAGATAACAGCTTCACATATTTGAAAACAAAAACAATCCAAATATATTCTCAAAAGTTTATGTAATAAGAAGGTCTTATAGGATGAGAAAAAAAAAGTATAGAGACAGAAGAATAAATTACCACTAATCATTGGATTCTCACTACAAAAAAATCATTCTCCTTCATTAGTTATGACAACTGTTTTTGAAAATAATAAAAACCTAAAATTAGAAAATACTATTAAAATATATTTTTGAAAAAAGAATTTATATAAAAATACAGCATAAGCATTTTATGTTTTTCTGTTTGTAATTATGTTTTCAGTTTTTAGTTGAGTTTGTTTAATAGATAGTAGTATACATACTCATCTATAAGAAAAAAATATAAATAAAAAAATGAAATAATGCATTTGGTGAACAAAGGACACGTGTCCTTCACTCCATAGAATTGCACCACACACACCACACTCTCATTCTTCTCCAACTCTCGCCTCAAACCTTTCAACAACCGTTCTCTGAATCTACCTTTCAAAGCACAACTGAACAATTGCTTCCTTCTTCAAATTCTTCTCATTCTTCTTTTCAAAACCTAATCACACAACAAACTTTTCAATTTCATCTTCAAAAGCTTCATCAATTTTTTATTATTATATTTAATAAATTATTTTAATAACAATAATAATAGAAGTGTTATCATTCCCATTTCGTTTCAAACCTTTTCAATTTCAATTATTCAATCATGCATTGTCTTGTCTCTTCCTCTCTCTAGAGAGTTCGGCCAGCCATGTCATCACAGATACCTGCAGCGGAGGCGCCGCTGCTCCGCAACCGCCACGACGCCGCCAGAGCGCCGGCGCTAGCGCTCCTCCTCGGTCGAGCCGGCCGTCGAGGCCCCTCCATGCTAGTGAGGGAGACCGCTGCGCGCGAGCTCGAGGAGCGCCGCACGGACTGGGGTTACTCCAAGCCGGTGGTGGCGCTTGACATGTCGTGGAACATGGCCTTCGTGGTCGTCTCGGCCGCGATGCTCGCATGCACCATTAGCGAGCGGCCGAACTCGCCGATCCGCGTGTGGATCATCGGGTACGCGCTGCAGTGTCTTGTGCATGTGGTGCTCGTCTGGGTCGAGTACCGGCGTCGTAGCCGGATGGACTCGCGCCGCGGCCAGGGGACGCAGGACGTGGAGAGCCAGGCCGGCAGTGACAACGATGAGGGCGGCAACGACAGCGACAGCGACGTGGTGGATGGGAGCTCTGGCAATTCGTCTCGCTCCAGGTGCGTTCAATTCAATTCAATTTTGTTCGTGTTGACCTGAGTTCTTCTGTTTTTTTGGAATTGTTCCTCTTTTCTTGATGTTATGGGTTTGATTTTGAATTTCTTAATTTGACATCTGAGTGGGTTCAGCTCAGTTTTATTAGATTGTAGAGGTTTGATTTTGGTGAGGAGGGTTTTTCCTTTTCAAATGAAAGCATTTTTTTTCATTTACTTTCAACTGTTTGGATGCTAGGCTTTTGAGTTTGACTGTCGAACTCCGAAAAAAATTATGAATTATAGGGAGCTTTGGGGAAGTTAGCGCTTGCGTTATGTTGTGGAGGTGAAGGTAATTGTTTATGTGCCGGTTTGGTTCAGTAGAGTTGGTCAGATGAACATCGAGTTTCTTGTGCTTTTGTCATGTTTATATTCTGCATTTTAAGGTAGTCTTGTAAAGTTATTCTGAGAAATTTTCAAATGTTATGCTTTGAATTGTGATTAAGAGTTATGTAATTTTTATGATTGAAATTGATAGAACTGACATAGTGTCTTGAAGAGGCTCTTGATAACAAAATTTGGTTTGCCAGAGGTTGTGAACTAGAAATGTGAAAATGTTTTATTGATTAGTTAGGTTGAACTGGATGAGTGAAGGGTCATGAAGGGGCTATGTGCTTGTCCAATATCATGACGTGGACAATAGTAGTGATAAAAACTGGTTCAGAGGTTCAGTGGATATGAATATTGTTGATTGATGAAAAGAAAGAACACAATTTTTCTGGATATTTGAGAGATCCAGGACTCTACTTTGCTGCAGTACCGACTCTCCGTATGACTTGGCACTCCTCTCAACACCTCTCCCTATTTATAGGCAACACCGTTTATGTCTCTTAACTATTCTAGCTCTCAACTACACAAGCCTAATTAATTTAGGTGAATAGCCTGAGGCTGCTGGCCAAGCTGACCCCACCCAACAACTCAAAATAGATTTTACTCCTCCTGGATTAAACACAAATATTTGAATGCTCCAATGCTCCTCCTGCACCAAACAAATATTTGAATGCCCCCATTCTCCTCCATTGCGGCAAGCAGCTGCTGACGGGACCTATCATATTTGTCCCTAACATTTTGTTGAAATGAAAAAGCTTGTCATACCTGTACCGTAGGAATTTGTATATGATAGGGCGTATCCATATGTCTGAAAACATACATATTTTATTGTCTATTTTGGACTGGCTAGAGCTTACACATGCCAGCACTAGCTAGAGCATCCTCAGAATGAACAAATTACATAGCTATAGAGAACTGTTATGACTTTATGTGCTTCTTTAGTGCTAAAAAAGGGTTATTCAGCTGTCTTCTCTGGTTTGAATTTAATAATGCAGACCCTTTTGTTTAAACTATTAGCTATTGGCAATATTTGTATTGACTATATATTTTAATTGTTTCATTTTATTTCTACCTAATTAACTAGTTGAATAAAACATAGCATGTCTTTCCATTTCCTATTGTTTCAATTTTTTTTAGTATGCATATTGTATCAGGTATTTGTACCTGTCCATTTGAAACAACTCAGAACTTAATATTTAATGAACTTGGTTTACTGAGGTGGTATGAGAATCTCTTTGATTCAGCAGAGTAGTGTTCCATCCTTATTGCCACATTTCATTCATTAATTTACTTTTAGCTCAAGTTTTGGATGGATTAGTATTTTGTATTTATGGGCTTGTACTTGATAACAAATTTATAATAGTTGTTTCCCTGTAGGAGGTTTTATGTCATGGACTTCTTGATTATATTGGAGTACGCTATATTTATATAAATTAAGTTCTTTCAACATTAATTGATACATGAGTGACCAAGATAGCTAATAAAATGTTTCTTTCCTTCGTAGTGTGTGAGGATATATAGGCAATGAATTTTTCACTACATTACATTGTGGGTATAATTAGCTGTGGGTTTTCTTTTATCGTGCTGTTCCCCAGTCCCCAGGTTAACTGTAGGTTTTTACATGCAATTGCAATTAATTTTCACTTTTTGCCCCTTTATATCAGCCTTCTGGAATAAAAATTATCTATTCTAGCAATTATTTATTCTTTTTATTAACTGTGATAGATTCATTCTTGGCCCTAATTAATATGTGATAGAGGACTAATTGTTCTTTTTCTGCTGAAAGCTTGAGTACTTTTGATCCTCCAACCATGGGTAGTTAAAAAATGGTATAAATTTCTGTCGCTATTATGTTGTATACTAAACGAGGATTAGTCACAATAGCTGGCAAAAAAATTGTAGTACATGTCTGGTAATATTGGAAGAATTTATGGTTTTCAAATGGGTTTCAGCAAATGGAATTCTTCCGTTGATATTTTTGGCTAGAAAATTTGCCTGACATGATGGTGCACTGTGAGGACTAACCACGGCCCACAGGATAGAACTATTATTAACTTTAGGAAAAGGAAATAAAATGTCTGTTCTTATGTTAAATACCCTAGCTGATGAAGCATGTTAATCTACTATAGTCTTATATGTTGTTAGGCTTATTAATACTATATTTTACTTCATACTTCTTTGGACTGTGTTATATAATTAATTAATATTTGATGACACCAATTTTTTATTATTTAAAATACAGGTTCACAAAACGATGTGAATCATTAAATACTGGGGTTTCATTCCTTTGGTGGATAGTGGGCTTTTACTGGGTTGTCTCTGGTGGTGATATACTTCTGCAAGATGCCCCACGATTGTATTGGTGAGCCTTTATTTCAACTTCTAAAATAATATTTGTATATTAATTTTGATATTCTGATATCTTTCTATGCATGTTGATTCACATATACAGAACATATGATATTTTCTATATGTTTGGGTACCTGAACAATGCATAGAAATGAGATCATTCACCTTTTCTCTTCTGTTTTTTGGGCTGATGGGGAATATTCTGATATCTTTCTATGCATGTTGACTCACATATACGAATCGGATGATATTTTCTATATCTTTGGGTACCTGAACAAGTTCCTTCTCATTTATTTCTTTTGAATAACAAAAGGATGGAGATTCCTTTAGAACCTATTGTTTTTAAGAGTCTACTAGCAGCTCCCTTAGCATCTAGTGGCTAATCTTTAGCCATGTGTTCCATTTGATTAATGTTACAAGAAGGCAACCTAGTACTACAAAAAACTCTTGTTCTAGTGGGATTCCACAAAAGGGTCCGACCTTGTCTAAATTGAAATTATGGTCACAGTCGTGGTTAGTGCGGATTGTGGCCGAGGCAGTGTGAAATTATTTTGTGTGCATGAAAGCAAACATATAATAGTTTTGCAATTATTCTACTTATTTATATATCCTTTATCTTTATCTGTTGCGGTTGCGGGAGAAACTGTTACAACAATAATGCAGCTGCAGTTGCAGTTGTGAACTGCAATTTAAAACCGTGGGTCCAATCTATTATTGGGTTGTAACTATTAATTAACGAAAGTATAAATTGCAAGTGTGAGAAAATGGAGAGGGTAGTTTATTATCTTGGATAGAAAATGAGGTGGAAGTGGCAGACCTCTTGAAGAACCTCTTACTAAGTTGTATTCTTACTTTCCACTAGGAGTGGGCAAAATTAATTGAATTGCATTGAACTATCAATTAACTGCACTATATTGAACCAAAAAAACTGAATTGTTTACAATAAAAACTGAATTGTACTAGTTTATAGTTTAGTTTTAGAAAACTGAACCTTTAAAGTTATAATTCAGTGAAATACTCATTAACTTAAAACTAATTCATTCTATACTTTTTACTTGTTTGAGAGTCTCTAAAGTTGCAGTTTATTTTGGCTAGTACCGATTAGACCAAACTTTGGTCGGAGTCAACTAGGCTGAATTTGGTCGATTTTTGGCCAAAGTTGACTTGCCGAATTCCGCCGATTTTCGACAAGGGCCGACTTAGTCGAATTTTGGTTGGGACTGACTCGACTGAGTTTCGGCAGTGCTCGACTTGGCCGAATTTGGCCAATTTTTGGCTGCGATTGACTTAGCCGAATTCGATCAATTTTCAATCAAGACCATCTAGACCATTCGTGGTCATCCAGGCCGAATTTTGTTGATTTTCAACTAGTGCCGACTCAGTTAAATTCGGCCAATTTTGATCGGGATCAACTCATGATAGACTGAACTAAGTTTCGATCATGGTTGTCCTAGTTGAATTCGGTCGGTGCCAACTCGACCAAATTTGGCTGATTTTCTGTCAGAATTAAATCGAGTGAGTTTTGACCATGGCTGTTCCAACCAAATTTGTCCGATTTTTGACCGGGGTTGACTTGGTCGAATTTCGGTCTCGACCGACTTTACTGAGGTTCGTCTGTGGCCTTCTTGGCCTAATTCAATCGATTTTAGGTTGAGGTTGACTCGATTGAGTTTCGATTATGCCTGTACCGGTTGAATTCGACCGAATTTCGGCCTCGACTTGTTTCAACATTTTGCCTTACTTGGCCTATTTCAACCTTTGGTCTAACCCGACTCATCTCAACTTTTTAATGTTGTTGCTTATGGTAGAACCTATATTATGAATGAAGTGGGTAAATACTACCTTTTTTAGTTTTTTAATTCAAAAATATTGCAGTTTGGATCAAAATTATTGTAGTTTTAGTTAAAAAATTGTGCAAAAACAGGTTAAGGTACATAGCAGTTCAGTTCATATTACAGTTCAGGCAAACTAGATTTTGGTTCAGTGCAACTTTTAATAGGGCAGTTCAGCGCAATTCATTTTGCCCACCCCTACTTTCAACATCAAAGTTGAGCCACAATCCTACACGGGTGAATTGAAATCGAAGCAACTAAGATTTCCATTCATTTTGTTTTTTCTGTATTGTTTGTATGATTTAGTCCATCTATTTTTCTTTATTATATAATAGAAATATTGAATTATTATTGAACTAAGACTATTATGCTATAATGTTATGCATGCATGTCTTTAATAGAATTTGTAATATTATTACAAGTTAAGTCTATTAGTTGAGTATATGAAAGCTCCACGAGTTTATGCTGGCTTTGAACAACATTGGTTATGATAAGGCATCGATATAGGGATACAAGGAATTGTCTAAAATTCAAGGTATAATATATCCATTTCATAAGCCTATGAGATGGAGTAATCCTTTTTGGTGAAAGCCAGAAATAGCTCTGTGATAAAATAAAAATAAGAGTAAATTGCACTTACACTTCCCTGATGTCATGCTTTTAATAAAGTAATTCTATTAATAAAGTAACAGTTGTACTCCTTATTTTATTTATATGAAAATAATATAATAATAAGTTAATAAATTTAATCACATATTTTATAGTTATTTCTTTACTTTATATTAAATAATGTTTTCTAAAATATAACTTTTATATTTTTACAAGACAATTTAGTGACAGTAAATATCTATGATACTTTTAATGTATAATACTTTTATTATTCAATTTTTTATTTATAAAAAATTCTTTATTTTATACTTCAAAACTTCATATTTTAATTTTCATGATTTTTTTAGTAAAGGGAAGTGCAGCTTTGTGAGGAAGGGAAATATTGAGAGAGAGAAATGTGTATTATAGAAGAGAATTTAGAAATAAAGGGTTATGTAGTTAGTTGTTTTGGGAGAGAGACTTTCTCAGAAAGTCAGTCTATTTGTTAGGGGTCTTTCTTTTTTAGTTTTGAAAGTCTTGGACTTTGTTAACAGGGAATATCCTGTGGGAAAGGGAAGTTTTTCTTTTGTAAACATTGTTCTTTTACAGCTAATAGTGAATCAGTACATTTGTGGGTTTATCTTTGGTTCTTTTCTCTCCTGTTCTTTCATCACTATTTCTAGGTGCCTAATAGTTTGGTCCAACCTGCTGGATCAAATCAAGGGATCATCATGGAGAGTCGGATAAGCACTTTGGAGAAAGGGGACAGTGAACAAGTAAAAATGGTGGCAGAATTAAAGATGGATATATCCAATGTTAAAGATAGTCTGTCAGAAATGAAAGAGCTTCTTCAGGAAATTAAGTAAGGAGGAGAGAAAACTCGGTCAATGGAGATGATAGGAAGGAGTAAAGATGTGTACAGGAGAAAAAATTAGATGAAGAGGGTGCTGAAACACGGAGACCTTGGACGAAGAGGGTGGAACTGCCCACTTTCGAAGGTAATGATCCTCTAGGATGGATAATTTTAGCAGAGAAGTTTCTTGAACTGCACAATTTCAATCAAGAGGAAAATTTGCGATTGGCTCTTATAAGTATGGAAGGTAATGCTCACCATTGGTTTATGTTTTGGTGTTAGAAGAACAAGAACCCATCTTGGGAGGAATTTACAATGGCTTTGAGTAGAAGATTTGGAGGCAATGAATGCAACACTGTCTACGAAAAATTAGCAGCTATACGGCAACATGAAAAGGTTGAAGACTACAACAAGTTACTCAAACTTCAGAAGATCAGATGTTGGGGTATTTCTTTGCAGGGCTGCAACCAAATGTTCGGAATCAGATCCGTCCACTTGATCCTAAGGATCTGATAAGAGCTATGGAGATCGCTCATGATATAGAAGAAGCTATGAAAGAGTCATGTCAGATTGGAGGACCTTCTTTCAGAAATAATGTATCTGATTTTTGGTACCAAGGAGGAAGAGGGGTGGTGTCACTAGCTGAAACAGTCAAGAATAATAGTAGTACGCGGGCACCAACCAACACCCAAGGATCAAGAACCAAGAGTCAAGAACAGGAGGTAATGGTAATGCGGGTTTTAGAAACAGGGGAACTCAAAATTTGCCATATCCTGAATATGTTAGGAGAAGGGAAGAGGGAATGTGTTTTCATGCGGAGGGGCTTACAGTCCCGACCACAAATTTCCAGAGAAAAATTTAAGGGTGGTCATATAATATTAGCCAAAGATGAAGAAACAGGGGAAATAATGGATAATAGGCTGAGTGAAGTAGGGAAGCTGATGGAGAGGAGTCGGGAGGAAAATATTGACTAAGATTGTCAATATTTAGACTTAGCCATTTTCTTTGCAGGAGGCATGACCCAATCTCACTCCATGAAGATGCAGGGAAAGGTAAGAGGAAGACCCGTGTTGGTGTTGATTGGTAGTGGGACGAGTCACAACTTTATTTCTTGGGAGTTGGTGCGGTTACCTGTTCTACCACCAGTGGAATCTACTCCACCTTATGGTGCCAGATTGGGAGACAGATACAGAAAACAGACACAAAATATTGTAGGGATGTAGAAGTGCAGATGGACGAATACAAGGTTAAGGAGACATTTTTCTTGTTTGAACTTGGAGGAGTAGATTTAATTTTGGGTGTAACATGGCTGGCAACGTTAGGAGATGTTAAGGTGAATCGGAAGACTTTATCAATGAATTTCTGCATGCAAGGCCGACCAATCAAAGTTAAAGGTTTGGCAAAAACTTGGGTGACCCCACAAGTTTTGAGAAAAGAATCCGAAATTGAACTGTTTTCTATTATATGGGAGAAGCAGACCCAACAAGATATTAAGCTTGAGTTGCTGAAGAAATATGTTAAGTTATAGAAAAGCACTTTCCATAAGGGATGCTGCAAAGCAGAGGGAGAGATCCTTTCTTGTAGTGAAGCTAAGGGATGATGAAAATAATTTATTAGATTCAAATTCTTCAAGTATGGGAAACTGCAGTGAGCTGAATGTGGTTCCACTTTGGATGAGCCACACAACAGTAATAAGTAACATCTGTCCCCTTAGTTGCAACAACTGTCCGAGTAAGCGCAACAACTGTCCACTAATCTCTCTCCCCCAAATGCGACATCTGTCCCACTAACTCAAAGCTACATTAATTCTTTCATCACTATTTCTAGGTGCCTTACAAAATTCTCCTAAAAATATAGTTTCCTTAAAACTAGTAGGGCCATAAGAAACATGTATTCTAGTTGGTTCTAATTTAGGACCTACTTGATAAAATAAAAAATAAAAAAACGAAGATTCCTAATTATTAGGGTCTTATCTACAAAATTTCCTAATTAACAAGATATGGATCTGAAATCAGCATTCTGTTATCCAGATCTAGGATAGTTAAAAGGGATAAACTGAAATAAATCAAAATTTAAATTTAGAGATTTGATAACCCTATTTAGTGGCCCACATCACCTTGATATGTTAACATATGTACAATAGGTATTTGTCATTTTAGTCCATACGTGATTATACCAATGGTTGATATCAAACTTAAAAGAAATTAAAAAAAAAACCGTATTCATATATGTATCCTTTGCCCTTATCAGCTAGAATGACTGAATCCATTTTCTGTACTGATTTTTTGTGTGCTGTCCTCTTTGCCACATCTTCAAAACACACTGATGTTAGTATACCAAAAAGATTTTTAATATATTTTAAAATGTTAAAATCGGTGTACATCAGCATATTTTAAAGGCACAACAGAAGACAATACAAAAAAATTCAGTAGAGAATTTAAATTCTAGTATGACCATGTCACAAGAAGTACATATTTTTCCCAACCCATGTTAGAATGTTGCAAAAAAGCATCATTAGTCCTATTCAAAAGAATTCTTGGCTCTATATGCTTGTCTTCTATTTACAACCACTTTGGGGATATCAAGGAAAATAGAGCTGTATGTAACTATAGTCCTGTTCAGTTATAGGTACCAGATGCATCAGTCAATAAAATTTTAATAAAATAAGAGACAATTGGAGGATAGTTCTCGGATACATGTATTTAGAAGTATTGTATCAAAGGATTATCATAAATGTATTGGTTGATGTGGTTGTGCCTCAGCTTGCGAGCATTGTTTCAAATACTAGTATCCGAAATGTATCAATCAATAAATTTTAGTAACTTAAAAAAATTCCAGGGTACTTCTTTGATATGTATTTAGGAGCCTCATAAGTGTATCAGTGTTTAATATGGATGTGATCCCAATACTTTGCCATTATAAGTATGTGTACTTGGGGATTCCACATTCAAGACCAAAAATAATTAAGCGTTATGAATTATTTTAATCCCCATTAATCCTAATTTTGAATATTTTTAAATTTAAAAGTTTCAAACACATTTTTATATTGTATTTTTATTTTTTATCTCCTATAAAATAATCTATCAAGTCAAGCAATATTTTCATTTTCTTTTACATATATTCATGAATATTTGAATGTTTGGATACTTGCTAATTCTTTTTGAAAAATTATTTACTGAATTTTGTGAATCTTGTTAGCATCAATGACAAAAATCTGTTTTTGTTCTACAGGTTATCTGTTGTCTTTCTGGCATTTGATGTCTTTTTTGCCATCTTTTGTGTTGTCTTGGCGTGCTTGATTGGTATTGCTCTTTGTTGTTGTTTGCCCTGCATCATTGCTATTCTCTATGCGGTTGCAGGACAGGTATGAATTAAAAATATTTTAGACCGACTCAAATATTTTGAAGTTATGAACCTTCTAATTTTTCTCCTATTGTTCTGGAATAACACAGGAAGGTGCGTCAGAAGCAGATCTTAGCATACTTCCAAAATACAGATTTCGAATACTAAGCAATGAGGATAAGCCCAGTGGCGGAGCTGGATCAATGGTTCCCATAGAAACCAGCAGCGCTTACTTGGCAAATGAACGATTGCTTTTACCAGAGGATGCGGTATGCTCTTCTCAAATTCTATTCATTTTTGTCTCACATTCCATCACTTCTATGAACTAGAAATTGCCGGTTATTTGATTTTCTATTTCGTTCAATGCACAAAGATTTGTACCTTGTTGCTTCTTGTACTGGTGTGAGTCTGGTTAAACAGGGGAAAAATAATAAATGCAATCATCTAAGCACTGAAATTGACTTTCACAACTTCAAATAGTTGCTCCATGGCTGCTTACTTTGGTCCGTATTTGTGTGCTAACTCCTAAAGTTCATGATATTTTAGAAATTTGGGAGGTAATTGATGTAGGTTCAAAATTTTAGTTCAAATAGCACCTGAACACATGGTATGATTGTATTTTTTTTTCTCGAATTTAATGTGTTTAGTTTAGAAAGTACAAAGAGGTTGGGGTAAAAATATATTTATATGAAAGAAAATAATTTACTCATCATGGACTACTATGAACGAAGTCCCAAGAAAATTGAAAACATCTATATTTTAATTGAGACAGCTGCAAACACATAAGATTGTTTCAATAATGGTTTATTTTATAGTCGCTTGTCATTATATTTGATTGTAATCGGTATTATTTTTTGTTTGAGTAAATTTGTTGAAAAAGCGGTTTTAAGAAAATTTATATGTTTGGATGCAACAAAGGAAATAGCTTTTACATAAGAAGTATGTATGAAGCTAAAAAGGAAAAAGGTTGTTAGGAAGTCGTTGTAAGATACAAATTTTCGTATGACGAAGATAATTTATATATAGAGAAAAGCTTTTTACAATTTCAGTTACTTTTCCGAACACAACTTATTCTCTGAAAAGATCGCGGAAAAATTTCAGCTTTCCTAAACGTGCTCTAAATGAACATATTAGCTGCTTTTATAGTACTCTTTTTGCCCCATTCTTCCGAGTTCTTATGAGTAAAGGAGGAAGTGTAGACTTTGACACTTATCAAAGATGAAGTCACCAAGGAAATAATAGTAATTAAACAAGAGGGTTAGCAAAAGAATCTGTTATTAGGTGCAACTTTTTTGCACAGATGGTTTTAGTGAAGATTTTGCTAAACTATTCTTGAAGGAGAAATCTAGTTGAAGATGTATGTAGGATTGAACTCTTCTAGGATGTTGCTTAGTGTCTTTTTGTTATTATTATCATTCAATATTCCAGCTTGTCTATCCCTTTACAGATTAAATTTTCTTCATTACATAAAAAATAATTTACCTTAAAAGAAAAACTTCATCCGTGGACTGTTAAAATATGGTCTGCTAAGATTCGAGTTTCGATTTTCAGGAGCCAAATTTATTAATATTTGCTGTTGCTTTTCAGGAATGCTGTATTTGCCTCTGTTCATACGAAGATGGAGCAGAGCTCCATGCTCTTCCTTGCAACCATCATTTTCATTCTTCATGCATAGTGAAATGGCTGAAGATGAATGCTACTTGTCCTCTCTGCAAGTACAATATTCTCAAGGGAAACGAACAGGTTTGACAGAAAGTGAAGAACCTACCAACTACCAACTGGTTATTTTAACGGCTGTTGTTTAATATGTATATATAGTTTCAAAACAAAACTCGCTGTGTAGAGTTTTAGCTGTGTCTGTAGAGAAAAAATAACATTTATTTATAAGATAACAAATGTAGTCTACTCAGCATTATTTCGTCCTTTGTTAGTTTCAGTTGAAAGTTGTCCACTTTATATATTGTTTATTACTTTTCTGATGGAAACTAGATTGTTTTACTAGATTGTTAAACTAAACCTTTTATTTGTGTAAATTCAGATCAGGTATCCCATATGAACTAAAAGATTTATCCATACTGTTTAATGTAAAGTTTGTGCCATGTTTCTTTGTTACGCTATGAAAACTACTCAGAAAGAATGCTATTTAATGACTTACATGATTTTCATATTGAGAATGAAAAGATTGAAAGTAAAAAGTCTTGTCTAATGTAAATATTTAGAAAAATGTAAGAGCTATACTATGCTATTTATTGGATACTAATTGGTACGGCTTTGCTACCAACATTATGTACCATTATACTTATATTAAGTGTATTTTTTTTCTCTACTAGTGTATTTTTTAGACATCCTTACATTTGAACCTATCTCTTTTCTATAAGCATTTGCACTGTTTATTATTAATTGTTTTCCTCCTTTTGTTTATTAATGAATGCCAGCTCTACAATCCCAGCTTGATGTCGCTCTACTATTACAATGACTAAAACTATGGCTTTTGACTAACAGTTTCCCAGACAGTAATTTAATTAATTTCTGTCATACTCGTCTTGCAATGTTTTTCCTTTTTGCCTTTTTGATAAGGTAACTTCATTCATTATTGGAAAATATTGATTCTTTTTTATGATTATTCAACTGATGGAAATAAGTGGACTACATTTAGATAAGAATGAAAATGAGTCAAGTGCCATTTATTGGACAAAAGACCGAAATAAAAGTGAAGTAGTTTTAATTAACTATCCTTCTCATTCACGTTTTCAAACCAAATGGCAAATTTAAAAAATAAAGATAATTTATCTCTCACACACTTCAATAGGTTATAAACAATAATTATAGTAAGTCATGCTAAAATATGCTTCTTGAAAACTCTCTGATGAAGAATACTTATGTGTTTGATAGCAAGTGCTCTTTAAAGAAAAAAAAACCAAGACAAGAATTTCTCGAAGACCAACCATTTCAAATATTTAAATATTAATGTTATATATAAAATAATAACGACAAACCAATTTGTTATCTAATTAAGAATTATTTTTTTTATAAGGAAAAACTAATAACCCAATGTTTATGCAATAAATAAATACAGAATCATAAGGGTCACATGTCCATATGTTCACTGAAGGGGCAAATTTCAACTCTCCCCAATTGTACATATCACAAGTCCTTACAATAGTCAATGTACAAAGAAACCAAGTAATTTATATTTCTTATATAACACCACCAACTTTGTAAACAGAAGGTGGCCACACTAATTATTAAATTATGTATCATTCACTTTCTTCATATGGTTCAGAACCCAGAAAATATATATATATATATATATATATATATATAT